AGTTTGTGTCCCCAGATGGCCCATGGTGAGTTTATTCACTGGAGCCTGGTCAGTCTGTCTGGCATTTCTTTTCTTTTCCTTCCTTCCTTCCTTCCTTCTTTTTTTTTTTTTTTTTTTAAAGCATCACTTTCTCAAAGAAGACCAAGACTCCATCATCCAGTAGTGATCAGCTACCATTAGTTCTTAAGCTAAGGCTGGGGCTTCTTACCCATTTCCCTTGTTCTATACTGGGTTTCTGTGTGGTTTGAGTTTTGCATGTAAAACTCAGTTTGACACCATTGCTGTAAGTTTATATGAGTAGGTTCCCAGCTGCCTCTTTGTGGTAATCTACCATTCTTGGTTCTTAAAGTCTTTTGGCCCCCTGAGCCCTGGGTGGCAGAGGTTTTTAATATAGGAGTCCTATCCAGAAACAGACACATATTTTTTTAAAAAGACTGGATGTATAATAGAAAGAAAAGTATCTCTACTGTACTAAACGTTCTGCATCTACTACTGAAGGCACCTCTATCTTATTTTTTTCATCTAAAATAACATATATTAATGGCAAAGAACATTTCTTTAAAAAATCCTAATTAGTTTATTGCCTTGCTAACAGAGCATAGGGTGGGGGTTTATTTACATTAGAGTGGGTGTGCTGGGTAGTCCATACTCAAATATAGATCTTGTGACTTCCTGATAGCCGCACAAAATGGTGAGAGAGGAGGCACCTCTATCTTATACATGTTGCTATTAGTTTTCCTTTGAGTTGTAGAAAGCAAAAAAAATAATAAAATTTTATGGGCTGGAGAGATGGCTCAGCAGTTAAGAGCACTGGCTGCTCTTGCAGAAGACCTGGGTTCGAATCCCAGCATCCATATGGTGGCTAACAACCATCCTTAACTCCAGTTCCAGGGGATCTGATGCCGTCTTCTGTCCTCCGTCTTCTGTCCTCCATCTTCTATCCTCTGCGTGCACTGCACGACATGGGTGCATTTACACATATGCAGGCGTTAACACTCATACATTAAAAAAAAGTAATAAAATTTTATAAGAGAAAAAACCCCTGCTAATTTAAAGTTTTTTTTTTTTGTTTTAAGAAATCACCTAAAACCAATAAATGTAAAATGACTGAATTAGGATCTCTTTAAAATTGGTTATTTTATTAGGAAAGTGAAAAATGATCTCAACAAGTCTTGCAATTTCTAAAGATTAGAGCTGATACCTTTCTCAGGTTTAAGAGATTTTCTCCTTTCACAGGGTACACAATTGTTGCTTTTCAAGCCTATGAGAGTGTCAAAGGCAGATGTAATTAGAATGGGGGTTGGAGAGAAACCACAGAGAAAGGGAAGTTAGAAACTTGATATATAGTGTTTCATAGCCAGTGAAACAGAAGTACATGTAAACAAGAGAATACATGTATCAGACCTGCTGGAGATTATAAGGACTACTTACCAATGCAACATATAAGCATTCCCCTGAAGGAGCCCTGGATCCAGAGAGGCCATGGCAAAGCTCATCTCTACTAAGTAGTCTCAGAGGACCATTACTACCTTACTCTGATTTAGAATTTTCAAGATTTATATACACATAGTAGCAATGTACCCTGAGTTACCTGGGATTGTTTAGAAATGAAGACCAACTGTATGTGAAGTGGTTGATAGTAAGGAATTCTGAAGGCTCCTCAGAGCCCATGAAACTTAGTTCAAATCTCAGTTTTATCACTCAAGAGCTTTATGACCCTGGGCAAATTTCTTACTCTTTACCTGCTTTTTTATCTTCCAAATCTTCAAAATGATATTACTATTATGTTCATGGGTTGACATTATAAGTAAATGAAATAATATCTGTATACTGCATTCACAAGGGTTAAATATATAAAATGGCAATAACATGTTCTTTTTAAAGTGTTTAAAGAACTGCGGCTGGAGAGATGGCTCAGCGGTTAAGAACACTGGTTGCTCTTGCAAAAGACCTGGGTTTGAATCCCAGCACCCACATGGCCGCTAACAACTGTCAGTAACTCCAGTCCCAGGGGATCTGACAGCTTCTTCTGACCTCTGCAGGCATTGCAGGACACGGGTGCACTTACCTATGTGCAGGTAATACATGCATACACATAAAATAAAAATAAATAAAATTTTTTTAAAAAGTAAAGTGTTTAAACAACTATGACTAGAAATCTCAGTAATTCAGTGACCTCTTTCTTCCTATGGCTAATTAATAGACACAATGTTAACTTTTTCTGGACTGTTGTGCAGGATCAGAACTACAAATATAAACCCTAAGAATATGATTATAAAAGTTTCCACAAGCTATCAAATAATCAGTCTTATAAACACACATTGAGCAAGACAGCCTTTAGTGAAAATTTAAGTTTACCAGATATTTGGCTTTATGCTCATTATTTCTAAACTGTTACATGTAAGGGGAAACAAAGCTCTCTATACTTTTCTGTCTTCATAGTCAGAACTAAGTTGTTACAACTTCTTGCAAGCCCTTCCTTTTCTTAATGGTTGATACTAAGCCTCTGTAAACTAAGAAAACAGGTAACTATTTTAAAGCAGACTGATGGTTTTAAAAAAAGTGTGTGTGTAGGCTTTAAAATTTGGACAGCTTTGGTTGGTTTAAACCCCAGTTGGGCTACTCACTTTGCAACCTTGTCAAATTACTGAACTCCTCTAAATCTCAATTTCCTCATCTTTAAATTGGGACTATTGAAATACTACTGGTAAAAAGCAAATGAATACGAGTAAAGCATCATACAGAGTGCTTCCTACTACTAGGCAACATAAATTAGCCAGCGAATGGTAACCATTATTACATCATTAGTGGGGTTGATTAAAATCACAGCTAAATGAAGAATTAAGAATTCTTACCAGGAACATAATGCTTTTAATGTGGGAACCTGGTGTTAAGAATGTGATACCCACCCTCTAGAGGCTGAGAGCACAATGAAAGATACATAGCAAAAAATCATAGCAACTTGATAAATGAAGAAGCTGGGCTCCATTTGAAGTTGAATTGTTTTTCTGGAAGAGGTGACATTTATGCTGGGGACAAACATGAATTCACCAGCCTGGAAGCTAGTGACTGATGGGAGCCAACTTGATCAAACAGGACATAAGAGCACACAGAATGATCTACTGTGCGCTGGGGCAGACAGCCTCCAGACAAGTGCGTTTAGGAAGGCCAGCCTGAAACATATCACCCTGACTTACAGACCAAACATCAAAGGAAAGAGGATCCGACCTTTTTTGTTTGTTGTTTTGATAGGGTTTCCCTAGTCCCAGCCCACCTGGAAGTTACTATGTGGACTAGGCTGGCCTCGATCTTACAGAGATCTGCCTGCCTTAGCTTCCCCAGGGCTGAGATTAGGTAGGCCCGAGTTGACCTTTTTAAGGGACATAGAACCACAAGCATATCTTAAAGGTAGTGAAGTTAGCTCTCTGAGGAAAAAAAAAACCATGGTTAAATAAATAGATATTATACAAAGATCCTTTCAGTTAACTAAGTTGACCAGGAAGCAGATGGGACAAACAAAATCAAGAAAAATACAGACTGGGATAGAAAGTTGTAGCAGCAAACCTGAAGTGGTAGTGCAGAGTCTGGAGTGTAAGCTATAGATGGTAGTCTTGCCAACCCTAGGAAACATAGGAAAATCCCCCAATTTCTAGTCTGGGTAAATAGTTGGGATATAATGTGGAGACAACAGGAATAGAAGCAGTTTTAAGTATATTATTTTTGTAACTGCAAATTTAGTTCTTATTAATGTTTTGTTATTCAAATCAGTTTTACTATGGCAGGAAAACCAAGGGTCACTCGCTCTGGTCTGTCATGCAGCGCCTCATTATTGGTTAATGCATCTTTGTTTACCCTACATTGAAATGGGCAGTAATTCAGGTTTCAGGCTACTAACTAGCTAAGGCAGCACAGAAGGCAGCCTGTCTTAAAAATCCACTGCAAATACCTAAGCAGATCAAATGTAAAGTCTAAATTGCAACGGTATCAAGTGGAGGAAAAACTACCTTCAGCTTGTCTTGACAGTCTTACAGTTTTAAGAAGCTCTGGGTCTATGATTCTTAACCAAGACCTGTGAGGCAGGATACTCCGGGCCCTTTGAAGAATTGAAATCTTGACTGAATGTGATCAAGATGCTCTTCAGTGTTGTCATAAATTAGGCTTTTCGGAAGACATTAAAAACTTATCACCCTATGAAATCACGCTAAGTTCTCCTTATAATTACAAAAGGCACAATTTCAGGATCCAAAGGCAGGTCAGCATTCCTAGTTCCACACAAAGTGGATTCGTTTCAATATCTGGGGGTTAGCCTTGAATTTTGGCTTTCTTCATAATTTTACCCCCAAATATAGTCTAACTAAACTGCAGTACTGTTTATCACACTCTACGTATGTATTTCAGATGAAATCATGGGGAAGGACGGAGTAACCAAAGTTAAAAGTGCTTGTTGAAAACTACTCAGATTTCCTAAACACTCCGGATGCCAAATCACACTTAGCACTTGAAGCAAATATGCGTTTTTTTGTGGTAGGAGAGAGGAAAAAGGCCACACCCAAAGTTAAGACTTCACAGAGAAGTGACACCAAGTTTCAGAATTTTAACTATGGCTATTTTGGGTACTCAATTTCACGGTTAATGAATGCGTCAGAATCTTTAAATTCCTTCCAGGCCCTAAGTTCAAGAAAACGTTCCTTGGAGCCTAATTGTTTAGGTTTTCACTCAGTCACCCGCGGGTCCAAGATGAAGAATTACCTCATTCAAAGCAAAATTTAAGTAACTCTGGTGTAGAGAAGGGCCGGATTCAAAGACGACCCAGAGGCTTGGGAGCTAGTCACCCCCTCCTGTCCCCCAGGGGAGTCAGACAGGCCGAGGGCCAGCCTGTGGCAACTCAGCGGCTCCCTAGCACCGCGAGGCCCCCGGGGGATCCCGACACCGCCCCCCCCGCCCCCCCCGGGCTCGCACTCCCGGCGGCCCCTCGACCTCACCCCGCGCTCCCCGCCTACCTTGGCCACGTAGTCCTTCACCTCATCCAAGTCTCCGTTTTTCAGGGCCCACATGAATTCCTTGTCGCACATCGCGGCGGCGGGGCGGGAGGCGGGCCCGGCAGGGGGGGCGGCAGGCGGATTCCGCGGGATAAGCGGACGCGGGGCCGCGCGAGGCCCACACGGTGAGCTAACGACGCGAGGGGGCCGCACAGCAGGGGCCAGGGACCGCAGGGACCGTCGGGCCCGGAGAAAGTTCTTCTGCGGCCGCTAGGCCCAGCGGAGCAGGTTCCGCCTGGCTGAGAAACGGCAGGACGCTTCACTTCCGGTTCACGCCCCGCTAGAACCCGCCCTCGACTTCCTCTTCCTCTTCCTCTCAGGGGAACGCCCTGCTCCGGACCCCGCCCAGGCAACCGCCTCCTAGTGCCATTTGTAACCAGGTAGGCCCGGAGCACGGAGGGGAGGGGCGGAGCCCAATGGGCGGGGCCAGGAGACTGATTGACGGGGATCCCGGAGGTCGGCAGTGTCAGGGAAGGGAGGTTAGTGTAAATGGCATTAATACATTTCTACTCCATTACAGATGGGAAAAAATTAAAATCTTGGGGGGCTCACTTCCTAAAAATGACCAAAAAATGTTTGATTTAGATTGTCTTTCTCCATCCCACTTGACATCATTAAGAAAACAAAAACAACCCCCTCTCAAAAAAGTTTTTATTGAGAATTTCATACATGCATATGTATTTTGATCAAATCCACCCCTATACCCCTATTCCTCTCCCTCCAGTCCTTCTCTATCCCACCAATATTTTCCCCTTCCAACTTCATGCCATGTGCTCTCTTTTTTAAACCCACCCAGTCCATTTAGTGCCGCCTGTATAAGTGTGAATATAGAACCCACAAATTATAACAGACAGCTTCTCTTTGCCTTGAAGCATCAAACTGAATTCTTACTCCTGGATGTCATCGACTGGCCAGGGAGATGATTTCTATCCTCCCTCCCTTCTCTTCCTCTATGTCTTCACTCATGCCTTCCTTCCTTCCCTTCATTCAGATCCTGCTGCTCAGCAGATGGTGGTGAAAAGGAAGGAATAAAGCAATTAATTCCTGCCCAGAAGGAAATCTTCAACACTTAAGACAATAACATGAATTTATTCATTTTTAATTGCTTATGTATGTGTGCATGTCTGGATATATGTGGGTATGAGCATGTGATGGCACACGTGGAGATCAGAGGACAACTGTGGGAGTTTATTCTCTCCTTCCACCATGAGGGTCCCAGGGATGGAACCTGGGTCATCAGGCTTGGCAGTAAAGGTCTTTACTGACTGAATTTCTTGTGGGCCCAATAATGCCAATGTTGTGCATTTTACTACTGTGCTTTATGTTCTGTGATGAGAAACACTTCAATGTGTGATAGGGATAAAATCTCGTTTTCCTGTTCAGCAAATGACATCCAGCAAACCTGTCTGGCACAATTTACAATCCAAAAATTCTGTGTTTGGGGGCTAGAGAGATGGCTCAATGGTTAAGAGCACTAGCTGCTCTTGCAGAATACCTGGGTTCAGTTCCCAGCAACCACATAACAGCTAACAACCCATTGAAACTCCAGTTCCAGGTGATCTTCCGCCTTCTTCTGGTCTCTGAGGGCATTGCATGTATGTGGTGCACTTAACATTCAGGCAAAACATTCATACACATAAAAAAAAATTTAAAATTCCGTGTTTTAAAAACACCTGCTTTTTAAATGATTTATACCTGTAAAACATCTCATGAAGCCAGTTCTGTTCTTCCTAGGGTTCAGGTGAAATACCTTAGAGCACATCCACCTAGTGAATTGTATCTTAGAACCCTAATGATTCAAGTATATACATGTGAACATCAAGCAATCCAATAAAATTTCTTATTGGAACTATTATACATAGAGACTATTATTTATTACTCACGAAATGAGTAAACCAAGCAATTTTATTACTGTGACCACATTGTAGAGTGGTTGAAAACCCATAGTGGAGCCATTTTTAAATGTCGGATGCACTATGACCAGTTTTTAACATCTTTAGCAAGTTGCTTGGGTTTTCCTGGATAACAATGATGATGCTCAGTTAGTTTATATGTATTTGTTACCACTTAGTAACAATTGGTGAGGACTCCACATAAAAAGAAAACCCTCTAAATATTTAGCAGCTGCTTGCACTGTTATTCTAATTTTACTTCTGAAAGTTGGGGCTACAAATCTTCATTCCCAATGTTCATGGCTTTCTGGAAGGAAACTTGAGGGGACGGATTTTGATAGTCAAATTCTGGTTACTCAGAAACACTTGTGTGATCTCTGCTTTACTTCATACTGACAGCGTTTGGTTTATCTCTAGCCTGAATTTCTGCTGTGGGATTAACTGTTATGTTTAATCTTCCATTTCAATGTCTGGAGCTTAATGTGTTTAAAATAGCATCTTGTCTCTTACAAATTCTAAGCTTAGCTAACTCCCTATACTTCCTGTTTCTATAAATGGCCTCACCAACTACCCTGTCACCAAAACCAGAAACACAGGAGTCACACTTGCTTCTGTCATCTCAACTTTTCTCTAACTCAACCTTTAAAGTCCTTCAAAATACTTCTTTTAAAAAAATGTTTATCAAAAAAGTTTATCTATTTCTTTTCAATTTTATGTGTTTGAGTATTTTATATGCATGCTTGTAAGAGCACTGCATGCGCACAGTGTCCATAGAGGTCAGAAGATGGTGGAGCCCTTGGAACTGGAGTTTTTAGCTGGATGGTTTTTAGCTGTCATATGGGTGCTGGGAACCAAACCAGAGTTTTCTACAAGAGCAGCCAATGCTCTTAATGCTGCACCATCTCTCTAGCCCCCCAAATACTTCATTTAAAAAATGTGTATGAGTGTTTTGCCTGCATGTATATAAGTGCACCATGTGCATATAGTACCCATAGAGGTCCGAAGAGGGTGTCAGATCTCCTGGAACTAGAGTCACAGATGGTTGCTAGCTGCCATGTGGGTGCTGAGAACTAAACTCGGGTTTTCTGCCAGAGCAGCCAGTGCTCTTAACCATTGAGCTGTCTCTCTAGCCCCTCAAAATACTTCTAAATTGGTTGACTTCTTATAGATTTTCATACTGACCCCTGCATCCTCCCAGGCTGCTATCTCTGTTTGCTACAAAGATAGCATCCTAGCTGGTCCCATTTTTACCCTTATCTTTTTCTAGGCAGTTTCCCATGTGAAGAGTTTACCCCTTTAAAATATAAGCAAACATTGTTTCTTGCCCCAACCTTTCAGTAACTTCCTGTTATGTTCATCAGGGCTCTCTGTGACCTGCCCATGGAAAGTCTTCCTATTCCATGGCATGGTTTCCCACCCATTGCTTCTTGAGTTTCCATATCTTACCCTCTGTCCATTTCAGGAAAAGCCAAGCACATTCCAGCCCATGGAATGTGTGTTATTTTCTGTCTAGGATGTTCCTTTAATTCTTGTTGGCTCCTTCTCATCTTAGAGATCTTAGTGCAAATGTTACTTTGAAGAGACGCCTCTAAAATTACCCCTTCAATCAGATTCTCTATTTTTTTCTAATTCACAGTATTTAGCCCAAAGATTTTCATTATTTTTTATTTGCCTATATTGGAAAATATTCATGATATTCAATAAATACTTTCTTTTGTCTGTCAATGTCATTCTGGGTACAAGAAAGAATTGTTCTTCCTGGCTTCTTTGTGGTCAAATAATATCATGTAACTGATTTTGGCTTATCACTCATGAGTAAAGTAATATAAGTCACTATTAGGATGCCAATTCAAGACCCTTTATAGCCCATTTTTTTCCTTCTGCTATAGCAATGGACAACATTCAAGACAGTGGTTACATAGGCAGTCAGGGTCCTGAGAGAGCGTAATGTACAAAGCTCTCCCTATCCAATGATGGATACGTATAATGAATGAGATAATTCATTGTTTCAAACCACTGAGATTTTAATGTTTATTCCTGGAGCAACACTTAGCTTTTTAAAAATTTGTTTTTGTGTTTGCTTTGTGAGACAGGGTTTTCCTATGTAGCCCTGGCTTGCCTGGAATTCACTATGTAAACCAGGCTTGCCTAGAACAGGAACTCACAGAGATCCACCTGCCTTTGCCTCACAGGTGCTGGGATTAAAGGTATGCACTACTATGCCTGGCTCACTTAGCCTATATTGGTTAATATAGAAATAATTGCAAGGATGGGAATGTGGCTAGAATAAAAACAGTGAATAAATTGTACTGACGTAGGCAGTACCAAACAAAGGGACGTGATGGAAGTCATAATGATGGTAATTCATATTCACAGAAGTGAAAGATTTGGCAGAACTCTCATGATAGCATGGTGAAGCCTGAGGCAGGTAATGTACTCCGTAAGCTTGTTGCTGTAATGGAAGAGGCTGGAAATGGAAGACTGGTCCTATGCATTGGTAACTACTGATTATATTAAATAATACAGGAAAAGATCAGTTTAGAAAATTGAAAATTGTGCTGGATAGCTTTAGTTGTCAACTTGACACACCTGTGTAGAGGAAATCTCAATTGAAGAATTGTGTCCATTGGACTGGCCTGTGGCCATGTCTGTGGGACATTTTCTGATTGGGTGATGTGGGAGGGCCCATCCCACTGTGGGTGGTGCCACCCCTGGGCAGGTGGTCCTGTGCTGTATAAGAAACCAGGCTCAGCAGGGGCCAGGAGAGCAAGCCAGTAAGCAGCCTCCTCCATGGTCTGTGCTCCAGGTTCTGTGTTCCCCTGTTCCTGCTCTGAGTTTTTACTTTGGCTTCCATTGATGATGGACCATGAGCTGTAAATCAAATAAATCCTTTCCTCCCCAAGTTGGTTTTGCCCAGTGTTTTTATAACAGCAGTTGAAAACAGACTAGAACACAAATAAAAATAAAAGTGATGGGGCTGGAGAGATGGCTCAGCAATATGGAATGCTTGCTGTCCTTGCAGAGGACCAGTGTTTGGTTTCCAGCATCCATGTTGGGTGGCTCACTACTGCCTGTGACTTCAGCTTCAGGGGTTCCATCCCTTCTTCTGGCCTCCACAGGCATCTACACACACACACACACACACACACACACACACACACACACACACATATATAATTTAAAATATGATAGAATCATTTAAAAAATGGAAGTGATTCTACAGAGTCTGAAAACATGGAAACTTGAACAACTTAAAGAAAAAGTGATTCTCACCTTCAGTTATTAAAAAAAAAATAAACAAAAAAGAGCAACAAAGTTGATTAGACGGTAATGCATGGAAAGGATTAAATTCTAGATTAACATGATCTTTCAGTGAAAATTTTCAGTAGAGCAAAGTAGGTATT